TTTTTTAAAAAAGCATTGACACTCATTGTCATGTCTCTCCAGTTTCTTCATAATCTTAGGGAAAAAAATCATTAATGGTAATGAATGAATGGACTTATTAGAAAAAAAATATATGCCATAGATGACTTGTCCCCGTCTATGCTGACACAAAACTATTTCATACAAGACATAAATAGACAAAATTAATGACACGGAACAAGAAAGCTTAAAGAGGCATACCCGTGAGCAGCTTATAAAATTATTTCAATCTTTAATAGAATCTGGTATTCATAACAAATCAACAAATATTATTGCACATTCATTCCATGAAAAACATTATTTCGGGGAGAACAAGTGTCTCTGGATCCTTTAAGAGCCCAGAGTTTAACTGGGGAGAGAAGAGTGAAAGAATCAATATGGAAGAATGAGTGAGTAATGATAGAAAGCAAAAATTGCAATAGCAATATGAAACTAATGATCAAGTGAAGCATAACAAAAGATATCCTATGACCTCAGAGAGAAAGGAGAACATGGGACTTGGGAAGTCTGTGATAGTTTCTGGGCAGGAAAGGCAAAGTGAATATAAAAGACCCCATAGCCAAAGCTGAATTTGGTAAGTAGACTTTCTCCATGATTCTATGTCTCATCCTTTTTTGTTTCTGTTTTCTCTTTGCCACCGCACTAACTGTCATGGACTCAATTACTATACCTCCTAGGCTAACTCTGAAATCTGAGTCTCCAGCAAGTCCATTAAGATAGCCATAATTAAAAATATATATATATGAGAAACAACACTTGTGGACGCAAGGACGTACAGAAATGAGTACATTGCTGGTGGGAATGTAAAATTATGTAAACGAATGTAAATGATGCAGTTTCTGTGGAAAACGATTTGATAGTTCCTCAAAAAGTTACACAAAGGATTTGCCATACAATCCAGCAATTCTGTTCCTTGCTGTATACCCAAAAGAATGAAAAGAAACGCTGTCCTTGTTTCTCCTGTCCCTCAAAATCAGGGCTCAACCCCATGAGGTTGGTGTACATGTCTAACCTTTGACTTGTACACTAATGTGAAATTCCCTGTGAAATTCAGCAATTTAGATAGTTTTCTGTGACTGATTCCAAAGATTCCTGAAATTCCCCCTTCCTTAGTTCCTTGAGGATATAGTATACAGGAGAATTCACCTCCACTTTTTTTTCTTTTTTCTTTTTAGTGGTACTAGGGATTGAACCCAGGTCCTTGCACATTGTTAGGCCAATCACACATCCCTAGACCTTTTTCTAAATTTGATTTTGAGACAGTGTCTTGCTAAGTTTTCCAGGCTGGGCTGGGCATGGTAGCACATGCCTGTAATCCCAGGGGCTCAGGAGGCTGAGGCAGGAGGATCATGAGTTCAAAAGCCAGTCTCAGCAAGGAGCTAAGCAACTCAGTGAGACCCTGTCTCAAAATAAAATACAAACTAGGGCTGGGAATGTGGCTCAGTGGCGAAGTGCCCCTGAGTTCAATCCCCAGTACCAAAAAAAAAAAGGTTTTCCAGGCTGGCCTTGAACTTGCCTCAGCCTCCTAAGTAGCTGGAATTGCAACCGTGTGCCACCATACCTGGCCCATCTCCACTTTTTGTCCATAGCACCACTTAGTCTAGTACCCAATATTTAACTGGCACACAGAATATGTGTTTTAAGAAGAAGGATGGAAAAAAGATTCAAAACCAACCCAAGTAAAAAACTTTTTGACCTAAGTAAAAACAGACCTAATGGAAGAAATTCCTCTTATTTCTCATAATAATTTAAGTCAGGTTGCTTAGTAACCATCTTCCTTAAAATGGTACATTTATATAAAAAATGGTGTTTTTATAAGAAGCTGTGGATTTCCAAGTCAGGTTTTATAACCTCATGCAGACCCATATGTCTTTTTTTCCGGGCCAAATTCCAATTGGCTTGCAGAGGAATATGCACACTGAAACTGAGAAGTTGGAGGGCTGGGTTGATGAGGAGGATGTCAGTGTAGCAGTGATATCAAAAGGGGGTCTTAAAATGAAAAAAGATCTTGACCTCTGTGTTCACTTTCTTGGAGAAAATCTACTGGGTGATATTGGCAAGGGCTGTCATACAATGACTACATGGGGTGGTACTTCTGTTAAGGTGTATTATGAGGTGTCCAAGAAAGGAAGAAAGGAACTCAATTATCTGGATTTGATATAATAACTCTAAAACTCTGAACAGAATGTAACCTAGCAGTTGCAATCATCTTTTCATTTTTTTTTCATTTAATACAATCCAGGTATACATTCTTCACTCTATATTATGATTATGTTATTACTTAATATTTTATTATGCTACATTTGTACGGTACTTATCACTTTTGTCTGACCATCTCCAAGAATAGTGGCACCTTGAATCAAGAATGAAACACTATAATGATTTTTTAAAAAAATACTTATATCAAGTTTTTTAGTATCATCAGGGCAAAAAGTATATCTCATTATGTTGTTTATGGCTTGTGGCTTCTTTCTTTGCTTGCTGTAGGACAGAGGCAGAAGCTGGAAAAGCAAACACTTCATCTCAAACATTCTAAATCAGGGAACTCAAAAAGTCAAGTAGGCAGTGCTCAATTGGAGTAATTAGTAGAATAGTCCATCTAATGTCAATGTACCAGCAGGTAACCAAAGCCACATCTTGATTATTGCACTATTTAAATGCACTCATAGGATAAAGTTCTACTACAACTAAAGAGCCCCTGGCATTCTCTAGGCATGTTTCTCCCTAAGAGTCTTGTTCAGTCATTTTCCCTGGGGTTAAGGTAGCTGGACAACATCTCTTTGGAATCAAAAGTGAAATTCAAGAAGACCATAAAGCAATATGATTAAGGAGCTCAGCTGTGCATGAACTGGTCAGTTGATAATTTACAAAACTTTTTCTTTCTGCTTGAAATCCCTCTAATTGTGTGACAATGATGGATATGTCACCAAATCTGACAGGCAGTATTCTGTCATCCATCCCTGATCCTGATATTCACTGAGGTGCTTTTTCACTTGTGTCCTCACAACTGTGTGTGCAGGGTTATTTAACCAGTTAGCCCCTGCTCAGAGGAGCTTAGGACGACCCTTCCCCAAAGCCATTGGACCTCATGTGGCAAGCCAGCAGTGGACCCCAGAGATGAACAAGAACATTTGATGACTCAGTGACCAGGAAGCCACTTCTAAGAACTACCTGAACCAGAGCTCACAGCCCCGCCCTTCAGACAAGTGCTTTTTAGAACAAACACTGTCTGTCCAGAATGGAAAACCAGATATTTTGAGCGACTTTGAGTCTTAACAATTTATGGCTCCTATTCAATACAGCTTATATAGCACACACAGACATTATAAGTTTGCCATACCTCGCTGAGTTCCTTTGCATGTACCTTACATTATTTCAGCTTAAAAACCATTTTCCCTTTAATTGGCAACAAACTACTTCTATGGAGATGAAAGAGATATATTGAGGAGATGACGCTGGCAATCTCATCTCACCTAGCTTGGTGATCATAGTCATGTCAATTTCTTTGGACCTTTAATTTCTTAGTTGTAAAATGATATATCACATGATTGCTAATTTTGTCTTAGCTGGAAATTCAGTATGAGTAGAGAGTTAAAATCTCTAGCATAGGGCCATAATGTGATACAGAAACTACCCAGTTAGTTTTATTTTTTTCAATTCAACAATTTATAGTACATTTTTTTAACAGCACATTTTCATTTCCATTGAAACTCAGTTCCTCTTTGAATGTAAACATTTGAGTATCTTATGGGTCATTTAAGTTGTGACATTTGGCAAATTTCACATTTCACCCCCTGTGAGCTAGGTCCTGAGTTATGAGTTGGAGATAAATGAAGAATGAGGCCTGGTTTCTGCCCTCAGATAATTCACAGCCTAGCATGGGAGAAAGCTCAAACAAGTAGGTGCTGGGGGCACATAGCGAGGGTGTGAAGGGCTAGGCATGCAATGTCTAACAGAAGACCTGACAGAGAAGAAGTGGGCCAGACAGGAGGGAGGCAAAGACAGCATTGTGTTTGTGCACAGACCTGGGGCAACAGAAAGCATGTGGAAGCTGTAAGTAGGGCTGAAGTCTGGGGATTAAGGGAATTAGAGGAGTGGGTCCATCCCATTTATTGATTCTTAATTTTATTTCTGAAGCTTTAGGAGTCTGATTAAGGAAATCAGAACCTAATTCAACATGATGAAGATTTGGGCCTACTTTTTCTTCTATTAGATGAAATGTCTGTAGCCTAATTCATAGGTCTTTGATTCACTTTGAGCTGAGTTTTGTGCATGGTTAGAGGTAGTGATTAAAAGATCAATAATGTGAAGAGAGAGCCCACAGAATGGGAGAACATCTTTACTACATGCATATCAAATAGAGCACTAATTTCCAAGGTATATAAAGAACTCAAAAAACTTAACACCAAAAAAACAAATAACCCAATCAGTAAATGGACTAAGGAACTGAACAGATGCTTCTCAGAAGAAGATATACAATCCATCAACAAAAATATGAAAAAATGTTCAACATCTCTAGAAATTAGAGAAATGCAAGTCAAAATTACTCTAAGATTTCATTTCACTCCTGTCAGAATGGCAATTATCAAGAATACAAGCAGCAATAAGTGTTGGCAAGGATGTGGGGGAAAAGGTATACTCATATATTGCTGGTGGGACTGCAAATTGGTGCAACAACTTTGGAAAACAGTATGGAGATTCCTTTAAAAACTTGGACTGGAACCACAATTTAACCCAGCTATCTCACTCCAGTATCAGTCTATACCCAAAGGACTTAAAAACAGCATACTACAGTGATGCAGCCATATCAATGTTTATAGCAGCTCAATTCACAATAGATAAACTGTGGAACCAACCTAGATATTCTTCAATAGATGAATGGGTAGAGAAAGAGACTGTGGTATATATTCACAATGGAAAATTATTATTAAAAGAGAATAATTATTGCAGGTTAATGGATGGAGTTGGAGAATATCATGCTAAGCGAAGTAAGCCAATCCCAAAAAACCAAAGCCGAATGTTCTCTCTGGTAAGTGGATGCTGATCCATAATGGGGGAAGGAGAACATGGGAAGAATGGGAGAAATTTGGATTGGGAAAAGGTGGGGGGAGGGGAGGAGAGATGGGTATAGGTAAGATGACGGAATGAGAATGACATCATTACCCTAAGTACATGTATGACTGCACAAATGGTGTAACTCTGCATTGTGTACTACCAGATAAATGAAAAGTGTGCTCCATTTGTGTGCAATGAAACAAAATGCAATCTGCTGTCATGTATCTAATTAGAAATTTTTTAAATTTAAAAATGTTAAAAAAATAAATAAATTTTTAAAAAGAAGAAGAAGAAAAGGAGTGGAGACCAGCAATCCTGAAAAGCTTTGGGATGATTACCATGTAATATAACAAACTGGAAATCAGAAAATGAAAATTTGAAGCCCAGTGAGATATCCATTCCATTCCACATTCAAAACCTTGGCAACAATTTTTAAATTGGACCATCGTAGGTATTGTCAAGAAAGTAGTTGAATTGGCTCTTCTAGCTGTTTGGTGTAGTGTGACTATATATTGATATAACCACTTTGTAACTACTGTTTTGAGATACTCTCCCAAGGCCCAGCAATTTTGGTCCATTTATATTCAGAACCAGAAAATAACTCAAATGTCTTTTACTAGAATAGATATGTAAATTAGAGGATAATCATACAACAGAATACTATACAGCAACAAAATAAACCAACCACAAATATTTGCAGTGAGATGATAGGAGATTACAAACTCAATGTTGAGAGGGAAAAAAAATGACACAAAAATGTATATAGTATTTTTTTATTTATACAAAGTTGAAAAATAGGAAAAACTAAAATTTACTCTTTGGCAATGTATTATATAAGTGTTAAATATATTTTTTAAAATAAAATTATCAAAAATATCAAGAGGAAATTAACTCTAAGGTAAGAGAGAGATTTGTCCTTTCAGAAAGGACAGAATGGGTATCCTAGGAATGTGGCAGTGATCTGTCCATTTGAGTAAGTTAATAAATTATTTCCTTTAAAATTATGTATTAAACTGGACTTATATGTTATTTGATTTTCTCAATGTATGATATATTGTATAACAATAAGGAAAAAGGCAATTAGAATCAAATATAACAGAGAGGAGAGAAGGAATAGAAGGAATAAGGGAAAAGATTAGCATGTAAACTTGGTAGATGTCTTAGTCTCTTTTTTGTGTTGCTCTAACAACATTCCTGACTTTGGGCAGTTTATTTTAAAAAAGAGGTTCTGGAGCTTGAAGAGCATGGTGCTACATCTGTTTGGCTCTGGTGAGGGCTTCATAGTGGGTGTCATCACAATAGTAAAAGTGCATGCAGAAAAGGGATCCAGGGGAGATGCCAATCTTGCTTATAGCAACCATTTTGGGGAGCTAATCCAGTCTCACAATAATGCTTCTACAAGATAGCATTAATCCATTCACGAGAGTGGAGATCCCACAACTTCATTACCTTCTTCTAGGTCCCACCTCTTAAAGGTTTCACCACCTCAACACTGCTATAGTGGCTATGAGGCTTCTAGCACAGGAACCCTTGGGAGACAAACCACATCTATACCTTAGCAGTATCCCTGATTATAGTTGTGGCTATGGCAAGAGTTCCTCAGCAGAAAGAAGGGAGGAAATGATGGTTTCCATTTGAAAAGCAGCTCATTCTCTTGTCCTCTGGTTCTTCTTATTAAATGGGGTCTTTCACCTTGGTGACAAAGATGGAGGAAGAATGGCAGGCAGCCCCCTCCCCTATCACTTATGCTCAGGGGCTTCCTACTCTTCTGCTGGGTGCCCCAATGCTGTGCTCCTGTACCCCTCACCTTGCCTCAGGAGTGTTGTTAGGCTCTGAGGACAGTTGGCAGCAAGAAATTCTCAACATTCTTTCCCCTCAGTTTTTTGGCAAAAAAGGCTGCCCAACCATGAGGACCCATTTTACTCCATTGCCCCCATTTTTCCTGCTGTATTGTGAAAGCTCTCTCGTGTGTTTTTCTCACTGGAATACTTTAAACAGGCTTTAGACATGGATAGCACAGATATAGTTTATTATTCATAGAAAAACAGATGCACACAGCTCGATGAGAACACGGGCCGCTGATTCTGCATAGACTTCAACACACTGTTCTATAAGCTCTGTGTATCATCACAGTGTAGGGTCCACGTCCCACACACCAAGTGTAAGCTGTACATTTGTGAGAGCCACTTAAAGCCCACAGATTTTATGGGATATTTTATGCTAACCACATATTAAAAGCACTAAGTGACCCCCCCCCAAAAAAAAGGTGGAATTTCTCAAATTCTGATCCCCTCAATGTCTGAGTTGAGTTGAAACCTCTCACTAGAACTCTTCCTCTTCCTCTCTCTGATATGAACTTCACATGCTTTCTTCATTTCACAAAGCTCCGAGGAAACAAAGGATTCTATGACTTACCAAAGTTTTTATCCTTTCATTCTTGTAGCTCAGAGGAAGGGGGAGAAACTGAGAGATTCTCCTGTGTTTCAAAGATCCAATTTTTGGTGTGAAAGAGCAAATGGCTTAGAGCTGACCCCTTTGAAGCATGTGGTGAGGAATGAAAAAGAAATGGACAAGTGAAAATCAATACTTCTGTGCTGTTATCTATCAATCCAGGGAATCCAATCCCAAATGTACATTTCTTTCACTGATTCAGCTGCTTCTAAATATTACACAAGATTTGATACCAAAAAGATTTTTTTTGCATTTTTCTTTAAAATCAAGTATGCTGACAAAAATTATTGAACATCATTAAGGAAAAAATATTTAAATTTTCTTTGTTGGCATACTTGACTTTAAAGAAAAATATACTGCACTATAATTGTAAATGATGAAATAAATGTGTTGATGGATGATCATTTATGTTTCAAAATGATTACTTGTTTTACAAAAGATTTCACTGATTAAATTCTTTCTCATAGTTCTCATACTACGTCATGAAACAAACTCAGTGTCCCCCTAAAAAGATGTAATTGCAATGACTCATGACCACCTACTGAATAAAGAACTGCCTGAATGTTCATTTGAGTTACAAGTTCAACAAAGCCCTTTAAAAAATATTCTAGAAATTACTCCATCACTTCTGTCTCTTTGAAATCTAAACTAGCTTGTGCTGTCACTAAAGAAAAAGAAATGGGTATATGGAAAACCCAGTGGTAAAGCAAATGTCTCAAGCCATTTTAAGACATAAAAATCAAGTTAGAATTTTAAATTACAATAAAAATCATCAACACAATAGAGTAAAATATATTAAATGAATATATTTTCTTTTTTGATACTGGGGATTGAACTTAGGGGCATTTTACCACTGAGCGACATTCCCAGCCTTTTTTATTTTTCATTTTGGGTCAGAGTCTTGCTAAGTTTCTGAGGCTGACCTCAAACTTGTAATCCTCTTGCTTTAGCCTCTGGAGTCACTAGAATTATGGCGTGTGCCATGGCTCTTGGCTAAAAGGATATTTTTTCTAAATTATGAAAAATGTTTCCATTTAAGTTTATAATCTACTTAAAACATCAGGCAGATTTGCAGCATTATATAGCTCTATGTCAATTTAGACAAAGATGACAATCCTGCTGCATTTTTCAATTTGAGCAAATATTCTACCTGTTTTTCTATATAAGCAAAAAGCCCACTAGTTTGCTTAATCTGGCCTTTTCAAAACCACCTTTCAAAACCCAGCAAAAAGGCCATCCAGCATCTTCTAACCACCTTATTTAGGAATCCTGCAACAGCTTTTCCAACAGTTTTCATTGCTAAGTGACCCTAGGCAATTTCCATCACCTCTCTGAATTCCAGTTTCCCTATATATAAAATAGAGATAATAATCAAGATCTACCTCCTAAGATTGTATGAGAATGAAATAAAATAGTGTATAGAAAGCATTTTTTTTGCACATTCCCTAGCAGAAAATTAATATCAGCTGTTATTTTTTGAGCTAGGAATTAAGGAACATTGGTGCTATCACTAACTCTGCCACAACTAGCTACAAGAGAACAGTTGACCTTCAACTCCTGCAGGCTTTGATTCCTTCAATGCAAAATGGAGATAGTTTGGAGTCAAAAACTCCACCATTTTATTCACAACATTTCTGATACTAAATGTGTGAGGTTTTTCATGCAAACAATCAGTTCTCCAACTCTCTAGACTCCAAGTAGGTATCCTACAACTGGATTCAATTCTGACAGTAACTACCCAGAGTTAGCATAGACCCTGCTTGTTAAGGGCTCAGTTTCACAAAATGGTCCCACTGCAGACACCAATTGCAAGTTCCAGATCTGTTTCAACTGGCTATAAATTGGAGTTCCCATTAAAACCAGTCTTAGAAGTCAGGATGGGGTCCTCATTCCCCCAGTATTGAAGATTAAGCACCCCCAAAATGCCAAGGTAAGTGTAGAAAGCAAGTTTTATTTAAGAGAAAGAGAGACGGAGACCCAAAGCTGAATCCAGTAGGGGGTGTGCCTTGCCCCTTTATAGATCTCAGATTTTCTTTCCCTCCCTGCTTGCCTACTTGCCTAAGGGCAGGAAACAGCAGCTCAGGGGTAATCATTAGCAATTCCTAGTGTTGCAGTGAGATCCCCTTGAGGTGTTAGCAACCCACTGAGTGGGGGCAAGTGCTCTGAAGGTGTTAGCAACCCATTTCCTTTTTTTTTTTCCCCATGATTAGCTCTCATCTTTCCCACCCAATCATTTTACTATCTATTCTGACTACCAGTCCTTTGCCCCTGTCTCACCCTCCTCAAGTTCAATAATTTTCTGGAGTAGTTCACAGAGTTCAAGAAGGCACTATTATCAGTGTATTATAAAGGATAAAACTCAGAAACAGTCCAAGAGAAAAGATGTATAGCGTATGACACTGTCACTGGACAAGATCCCAGAGAGGGGGATCTTGATTCAGGACAAGTGGGGATATGGCATATCCAATAGAAAGGAATTTCAGCACATACCAGTCAGAGACATAGATTCCTTTAAGAAAGCAG